ACACTGCGGAGACCATCGTGCACCGGTACGTAGCTGGGGCCATCCTCTTGGTGTGCGCAGCTCAAGATGTCCGCGCCCACGGCTCCGCGGATTATGAAGAGGATCGACAGGAGGTTGTAGGTCAGTGCCAGGAAGACGATCGGTCGTTCCGGGTAGCGGAAGCGAGACGGATCCACCCAGAATGTCAAAAGGGTGAAGAGCGTTGAGAGGAAGCAGAGCCATGCCCATCCGGTCATCCAACGGACCGCGAAGCGTTTGTCTTCGGCGCGGTAATAAGCGTCGGCGTCGCAGCGTGGAGTGCACGATATCTGGAACAGATATTCGGATGGTGATTCGGATCAATTGACTCAGGACAAATCCAAAATAAATGTACATCTTGTTCACTGGAGGTGATTACTTACGGTATCAGTGAAGGGCGTCTGTACGAAGTGAGGTGGACACTGATGATGATCTTTAGCAGCTGGAAGAGTCTTGATACCAGCCCAGGGTGGACGAAGTGGTGGTATAACCGGTGACACCGGCTCTGGAAGGCTTTCCTCACTAGGTGGCTGCACGCAGAGAGCATTGCCTGATAACAGCAACAGGTCATTTAAAGATTTAGAATTAACTTCCGAGTCCTTCGACTAATGGCTGGTCATCGACATGATAATGCACTAACCGCTATCGGAGAATCGGTCGCAGTCCCACATATTTGGCCAGGGCAGGGTGAGACTCGTCAAGGCGGGCTCGCAATCCCGTCTGACAGATAAGCAAAGTGGCTTGCATGCTGGTATCTGCATTGCTACATGCTCTGAGCAAACAGGAGCAAATACAGCGCACAGGAAGAATCTCAGGTGTTTCGAGCAGTTGTAGTGAACAAGAGGCATGAATGCGGCAAGCTGCAATGAACATTGATAAATATTACATCAATTAGTCATCCAATTAATCGACTGATCTACAGATCTATCTATCAGCCACAAACGAATACCCTAATTACCCGTCCGTATTTTTCTCTCTCTAACTTATTAATTAATTCCACAGGCTATTGTTCGTTTTTCAACGATGAAAAATCATTTTCTCTCATTTTTGTCACAGACAGATGATTCAGATGATGCAGATGATGCAGATGATGCTATTGTGTCTAATCCCCAAAAAAATAAATTGCTTTTTTCCCCTTCAAATTGAGACAGATTGTCACAATCAGGAGTGAATGAGAATCGGTAGTATAAATTGATGAAAAATCCCCGAGAATTTCACAAAATTCGATCGACGTATCATTAAAGAGCCATAAACCTTCCCGTTCTTGGAGTATGATAATTCCTGATGAATGGAGATGTGGATAAGGCTGAGAGGGTAAAGCAAGACGGCTCCACGATATGTAATGAGTGGTGGGCATCAGGGGTAATTATCCCGCCCATTCTTCCCGCCTCTCGGACGTTCACGAGTGTTTCAGGATTGGGCCTTAGAATAGTCCATTATGGTGAGGCCCGAGAGCTCTGGCGCTGGTCAAATTATAGCCCCCACGAAATAACACGGTAAAACCCGTATTCCATTGGTCTTCAGGCCATTGCCTGGCCACATCAGACCAGTGTTTTGAGCCTCTCTCTTCCCGAGACTCGTGCTTCCACATAAATGTTCATTCCACTCGTCTCCTCTCGTTTCTTACTTCTGGAGTTAAAAATGTAGTTTAAAAAAAAATGAACGATGGAAAAGGGCAAGTTTTTACGACAGAAGGATAAGGGGGACAGGGGAATGGGTAACATTAGTCCTCGGAAGGAATGAACGGAAAATAAACGAAATAAAAGGTCTTGCTGAAATCGGCAAAAGCGTATCGAGACCGGTTTCGAGGAGGCCTTCCGTTCATTATTTCGCCGTTTTCCGATGGGTTCCGACCGGAGGGCGAGTGACGAGGACAGGGACATCGTCGAGGAGCTTTTTTTTTTTTCAAACTGCCAGGGGAGTGAAGGTAGACAAGACGAATGCTCTTTTTTTTTTGTCACAGGGTACCGGTGACTGACGACTCAGGACAGCGACAGCCTGGCCTTGAGCATCTGGGGAGATTTCGACGACGAGATTTTTGGATGTCCCTAATTTCTTCATAACCACCTGAGGTAACCGGGAACAATGGAAAAACCAGCAGAGCCCTGGAACAGGTACAAACAATTTTACTGGAACGAGTTTGTTGTTTTGAGAAGGAATCGTTTGAGTTAGCTTTGAGCATTGACTTGGGTTGATTTTTCTGGTGACATGATGATCCAGTAGTTTTTCTTCTCAGGTGAGGCTCGTGGGAACGAGGACCAGGAGTCGTGGTACGTGGGAAGCCGAAGAATCCAGACCCATCAACTTCTTATCCAAGCGATTCGCTGCACAATGTCGCTTGTGGATCACATACTGACGTACCTCACCAACAATGCGGCGCCCTGACTCCCTTAATGATCTCCGGTAATTGCAGATGGATTATTTATAATTATAAAAGAAAAAATAACTGGAATAGTATGAATGAGCTGGTGGACATGGCTGTGGGATTTCTCAGAAGCAATTAACTGGCTTTCAATGTCAGTTATTAGCTCCTCGCCATTTCGGGAGAATTCTAAATTACGGCCTTCCTGGAGGACTCCTTATTCTCGCCGATGGTCTTCATAATTCTCCTGGTGCATCAATGGGGATTTATCTCCGTGGAAACTCTTTGTTCGATTATTACTCGTGGTAATGAGTCCATAGATAACACGTGTTACATTCTGCGGAATTTATCAGAGATTTGGAGAATGATTACTCTGGATAAAGTACGGGCTGCAGAAGAGGAAGTGGATAAAACGGAGGTCCACCGACAAAGAGGCTCCGGGTTTTCTTGCTTGGTACCCATGAGACGAGAGCAAGTACCTCGGAGAGATGAACGGGCGGGAAAGAACGGCAAAGAAGAAAGGGACTCGGGATAAAAGGAGGAATAAAAGAATGATGAGTCGTGTCTCGGTTTATGCTCGGAGGCCACTCGCCAAAGGAGGGAATCAAGCGTGAAGACCGGAGAATTATTTTCACCGGATTAAACTATGACCTTCGGATTACAGCTATTCAGGTAATGTATTTTATCAAGAGGAGCATGAGCCATTGAAAAATTGACATTTTAAAATCAATTCGATACTGGACAATTACCGGATTCACATCACGCCGAAATTTTCCGCGGAAAAAATTCCCTTAAATAATTTTTTACAAGTATTTCCCATTATGGACATGATTTAATTAATTATGAGTGTAAATGATTAATTAATGGATGATTAATACCGGGGAGATTATTTCAAAGGAATTTTTCTTGGGATAAATGACCACCGGTTGCTATAAGAAATCGGAAAAACGAATCGGAGAACTAGGAAATACAATCGGGGATTTAGACTCGAAAGAGTCACGTGTTTTATCGACGATAATAAACTGAATGGCGAAAATAAAAATGACGAGTCGAGGATACAGCGACACGGAAAGTGCATTAAGACGGAGACGATCGGTGCGTTTGATGATGACCGTGTGAGATAAGATAGTACCCCGAAAGGCCACAATGTACACGGCATTTATCTCGGGAATAAATTCACCAGCTGCTTGCGGTCCCCTCATAATTGCCTAAAATCCAGAGAAGTGTCTGGTACATGTTTACGACCAGAGAGAAAACCTCTTGCCTCCATGGATACGGGAAATTAAATAATTTAATTGATTTTCATTTTTCAGGTTCAGGATTCGGACATTAAATTCGTGGGGCAATCCTCGGACGAATCCGGACACTAAATACCTTCATTAATTATAATAAAAATCATTGGAAAAAGGAGAAAAGGGAGAAGAGGGAGAAAGGGGAGAAAAGGGAGAAAAGGGAGAAAAGGGAAAAAAGGGAGAAAAGGGAGAAAATGGAGAAAATGGAGAAAAAGGAGAATGAAAGATAGGAAATGCGGTTGAACGGGTCTTGGGGGGTGCGTGCAACTTAATGTCGGAGTGAGCGGCGGTTTTAAAAGACGCCGGAGGTATTTATAGTCCTGGAGGTTTACTCTCGCTCGCTCAGTTTTATTAGCGTAATATTATTAAGGCGGCATGGGCTTTTGAAGAGTCCCCTCTGTCTCACATGGGGATCGTATCCTCTCGCGTGCGAGACCAGTCTCCATTACGCGGAGTTGCCAGATGCCGCGGGTTTTTTTTAAACGTCTTTTTGATTTTATACAGTCACAATCAATCAAGTGGAGTCGATAATGCGAATAATTGACACTTATCAAACGTCATGGGGGATATATATCATTAGATCATGTATGATCTTGCCGATTTTTCGATCGGCAAGAATTTTTTCTGCATTTTTAACGCGCGGCGTGCGCAAAATGTCACTTTACACCAGAGGTTTGGTGTTATCAATTATTTTTGAAGGATGGATTTTTTTTTTCGCAATGAAAACGATCGGTTGAATACCGATTTCCGTTCTTGGAGGTGCTTTTGAGGGTTCTGTCCGGTCACCCTGAGAACACGTGCTCGGAAATCCGTGGGGAGGACCTCAGGGTCAGAGGATGTGGTATAATGGAGGAGTAAAACATCTAATTTCCAATCCATCGGTTATTCCTCAGGTGGAGGCCAGGGCGTTAATGGCGAGGGGTTAATGAGCCGTTGATTGCATTCCACTTCCCAACGGTATGAATATTCAATTTAAAAAAAAACGATCAGCCACTGTGGGATAATCCCACCGATTTTATAATAATTCAGGAATTAGCTGACTGCAAAATTTTGCGGTTTACCATTCGGTTGAACTTATTTCGTCGAGGCAGTTCGTTTTATTTATTTCCCCTTTCGATTTGAAAAGCTGGTGACAGTTATAAAATCCTATAAATCCTATAAACTCGCCAGATATACGATCCCCTCGATATCATTCAGCGGCACTGCTTTGTCCCCATTTTTTTTTATCCGCTCAAAGACCTCATACCGGTCTGATAAACGCTTGATGTAACGTCTCATTCGTTGAGACGTTAATCCATGTGTTAACACGATAAGTGGGATCACATGAACCGGGGCATCAAAGACTCAACAATTTTTCAAATCAATCCGGCGTCTCGTGTGTATTTAATTTCAAATTAATACCCCATCCCGAAATATAATTGTGAAGATCGGTAATGATTGGTTGTGAATTTAAATCCTGTCTTTGAATTTTTTATTAATTTTACGTTCAGAGAACTTGTCTTGACATTAACCGATCAACCGATCATTACCGATCGATACCGATCACATTGGGATCGGTATTGATCGGTAGATCTGGAAGATCCGGAAGATTCGGAAGATCCGGAAGATCCGGAAGATCCGGAAGATCCGGAAGATCCGGAAGATCCGGAAGATCCGGTAGATCCTAAGATACGTAAAGGATTATGAACTCACCCCACGTTCAGCTTGCAACTGATCAGTATGGCCCATAAAATTGGGCATTGCTGTTAGATTGTACCTCAGTCCCCGACAAATAGACACCGTCAGTCTTTCGCACTTGGCATTGCCGTTTCCAGGGTGTCCTGGGATGCCCCAGGAGTTCGTCACCGTGACGATCACCCACAGGACAACAATAACAAACAAACACCGCATGATTAGACACTTTATAATCCAGGAATAATCATTTCTTCACTGATACAATCATTCACTTCATGATAAACCCATTGATTTAGGTAATTGTTCATTTATGTTGACAGCTAAAGTTTTACCGTCCAGTCGGCTCGGTGGCGCTCAACAAACTGCCGCTGGAAAAACATTTCGAAGTCCATGCTATCCACGATTCCACCGGGTTCGGGACCACTCGGCGGCACTTCGGATCCTCGTGTTCAAACGTGTACACAAGGGCTTTTTGTGTATCTCCGTTCTCCATTCTTTATCCACCCATTTTTTTTTCATTCTTTTTATACCTCTCTTTTGGATCTTTTCTTCATCTTTTGGTGAGGCACTCTATTATTTTGGGTCCCAAAGCCGCTGGGGCCCTGATGGCATGCCAACCAATCCCCGGAGTTCGCGGCCGTAATTAGGGACAATGGGGAGTGAAACCTAGTGCGCTGGGAGGAATTAAAGAATCTTCCGGCAATTACATGGGTGAGGTTTCGGGGAATTAAATTTTTGAGGTGAGGTACTCGTGTTTATCTCTCATCTATTTTCTCCAGTGTATGTGCTCCAGATTATTGTATCCGTGTTATGGAATAATGCAATTATAAACAAATTATTGATTGTGAAAAATATCTCAAATCGCTGAGATCCATTATTACTCGACCATTCTATCGTACATTAAATTGTCTTGAATTTATTTTCAAGAAGAATTCATATGGGAATACACTCGATTTTTTGTGAATCGGTATCACCGATTTTTGTATAAATCAGGTGTAAATCAGGTATTGGGCCTGAATTTATCGACCAACAACAGTGAAATTATGATGAACCCCACAATCATTAAAAACCAATGATCGAGGGAGAATAATGAGAATTGTATGAACGATGATATGAGGGTATCGTTAATTAGTCCAGGTACATTTGATGGAAAATGAAAGGGAGATTCGAACGTCGGGTAGGATCAAAGAGATGGTGGAAGGGGCCTCGAAGGCCCCAACCTGTCCCACCAGTTTCTTTATTCCACGCTCCGTGGAATCTCTGTCGGGGGACTGTGAACATTTTGCGTCTGTTGATCCGTGGGCGTAACAGACCGCAACCGTAGTCGGGGCATTTTGAGCCGACAACCTTCTCCATGTGTTTCTTTTTCACCCGGAGCCTCAGGCTTTCACTCCAAAAAAAAAAAATCTTTTTTACGCTAGAACGCTACAGAGATAATTGCAATGAGCAAAATCATTTCGATTTTCAAGAAATTTCGATATGTAAATATTATGTAAACAGTTGTTGATCAGCAGGATTTGATGGGTCTATTTTTTTTTTATGATTTAATGCTCTCGATTGTTGGTCGGCAAAAAGTGGGATAACTGCCTGGTTATTGTGAATTTTCTTTTTCTTTTTCTTTTTCTATGTCTGAGTTGCGGAGTTTGCGCGGCTCGCGAAAGAATGTGACAACTTTTTCACCAGGTACTTTTTTTTGATCTTTGATCGATGTACATCCCTTTCGGGAGCAAGTGCTGGGGTTTTTTATTCCGTGGAATCTAATCACCGAGGGCCGCGGGCAACAATGAATAGTCTGTCATTTCTTGTGGTCGTGTGCTGGTGGAAAGAGAATTTTCCGTTTTTCAATCGATTTGAAAGCAATTGACGGTTTTGAGTGGAAGTCAGGAAAACGGGTTGACATTAATCTCCAGTCAATCCCGATGATCATTAAATTAAATAAATAAAAAATCTCAATGGGAACAATTTATTGGGATTTATTGGAAGTGATAGGTGCAATAATATCGCCAACAATTTTATTCCATGGCTTTTCATTTATTTTTTAATAAATTAATTTATTGTTATATTATTAAATGAAGGGAATGTTTATGCGATTAATTTCAGAGCAGCTGCCGAATCGATGAAAGATCTCGAAGTTACTATAAATATTATCAACAATTTAATTTAATGACTCAATCCTTCATTTATTGTTAATAAATAAATTTTAGTTGAAGACTCGGTATAATGTAAGTTGTAAATGTCCAATGTTGCTTGCTCAAGAGTTGGTGTCATACTGTCCCTGGTCCCACAAGACAAGGCCCTTTGTCTATGGGGTTGCTCCACGTGTTCAGCTGTTTCCATTATTTCCTGTGATCTGTTACAACGGGTCGCTTGTTCGTTTTAACGTCGAAAATATTTCCAACAATCACCCCCATTTTATAATAAATTACGTTCATATCGTTCAGGTCTGTAATAAAATCATATTATTTTTACTCTTTTTAATAAGACGTGAAAAAATACCAGGGGCTAAAAATTATCACTGGGAAATGAGACGTGGGGATGAGGGAGCGGTCATCGTCGGTAGAGTTGTCGACGTTGAAGGAGTCTCATGAGTAGCCGGCGTGTTCTTGTCGGCGAATCAAAGAGGATTGTAATTAGCCGCGCATGTGCCGCTTCCACAACTTCACCCGTTCACGTCAGACTGGACAGAGAGATTCAAGTTATTTTTCCACCGTAATTTTATCGCGAATTGTATCTCGATTTTTTAGTTTAAACTTTTCCGGTGCGTTGGTCATACCCCCGGGGTTATTAAAGAAGATTTCACGCAAATTGTGGGGACTATCTCCGGGGTGGAGAAGAATAGGACGGGTGTGCTTCCACGGTATGAAGTTAATCAACAATGATGAGGCGTTTTTTCTTTTTTTTTTCCTTCTGCTGGGTAATGCACGGGGAGACGATTTGTTCCACGCTCCATGATTCGTTCCCGACAAATCGCATCCAACCCGGAGGGGGAATAACGCACGTAATGACGGGTTGGAGGAATCACGTATCTTCGAGGTGTGACCCCCACACCATCCGGGCCCCTGATCCGCCATATGATGCGATCACGAGGAGTTCCTCAGGTCCAAGTGGTACGAAAACTCATTCCCCAGGATATCGACGCTTTATTAAGAAGATTATCAGCGCGATATCCGTAGCATTCATTGCTTTGAGTGGTGGGGATTAAGAGTTAAGGTTTAAGAGTAAAAAATTTTCATTACGGGTTAATTGGACTTCATTAAAGATTAATTTGACTTGATGAAAAGTGTTGGTATTGGCATTGGCATTGGCATTGGCATTGAACATTTTATATTAAAAATATTCAATTATAAAAAATAGGATATGGTTTTTTTAATTTTTTTTTAATGGCAATATAAATTGCAGGGTTTTATGTATCTGTGGAATGAGAGGAAAGTTGAGAGCTTTTGGAGGTTTTCAAGTCTTGTAATAATGGAAATGTAATAAAAGAAGGAGCTCGTGTTTCAAAAGATGCGGCTAGTGCCTCCGACTGACCCTTTTAACCGTGAAGACGAACATTTGTTGCGCTTCACCGTAATTTAATGACCCAATGTGGTGCTCAACTTCCGCTCTCTCGAGATCAGCGCAAACCGCGAAAAATTTTTTATGAAAAAATCTCATTGTTTCGCTGTTGACGTTAAATAAAATAACGAGAGGCACCGGTGGGGGTTATCCACAGGGGCAAGTGATCTTTCGGGATTTAAATGCCGGTAAAATGTCTCTGATTGCCGAGCGTCGGTATTACCGACTGGCGGCTGTTGTTTAGGTTAAAAAACCCCCGGGAATCCCCGAACAATAAAAAGCCATGATTATCTTAACAATCAAAGATTCCAGGGGAGATCTCTTCAAGAATCTATCCCGATGGGAGACAATCTCCAAAATTTCGAGACAGAATCAATTATTTTTGAGACAAATTCGTGATTAACAGAATTATATCAGTTTCACTGCTTGCGTTTCGCTGAATATTCAGGCAGCATCATAAATATCGAATTGAGAAAGATGATAAATAGTACATGGCACCAGTAACCCGCCACCACAATCAAATCCCGGTAATAAATTCATAAATTCCGACCGCATCCCGAAAACCAATTACCGGTCCCCAAGATCTCGAGTATTTATGCACCTAGTGTCCGCTCAAAGTGACGCCATCAAAGTTTCCGTCTATGAATCAATTACTCCCATTGTCCTGACTTTATCCTCGATTAACCATACATTGGCATTCTGATCCTGAAACAAAAATAATGTACAATGCGAAATAGTATCGAAACCTTGAATTTTCAGCTCCTGGCATACAACTGGAGTACCTCACGCGGGGATTACAATCGGCAGCTGCCGTTGGTTCAATACGCATGCGAATTAAAGCTGAAACCTTGCGCCCGCGTACAACGATTGTACGGTGGATACTTTTCGATCGACTTGGCGACGGCCAGAAAAGAGAGAGCCCCAAGTGCAAAGGACGATAGCTAGGGGTAAAATTCACCGATGGCCGCTGCAACACTCGATGGTTAAGTTTCACTCTGAGTTTGCACTTGTCTGACAAATATATTACCAATTATCGAGGAGTGGAACACCTGGAGGTGGTGCAAGTGGTGGTGGTGGGTTGGACACTGGATTTCCGCTGGTTCCAAGTGTTGGGCATGTGTTGGGCATGTGTTGGGTATTGATGATGTGAGGGATACGTTGGATCTCTTCAGCTAGGAGGTGTCTGCCGCTGTAAACGAAAAGAGATGAAACAAGTTTTGTAATTTATTGTGGAAATATATATATTTTTTTTTTGAGGAGAATGGAGGAGGTGAGGGATGAGGACAACAGGCGATTGTTCTGAGTGTTCGGTGGGTGGAAGATGTTAGCGTAGCCGGTGGAAGTGGGGGATTGATAAAGAAAAAGAAGTGACAAGTTGTTCTTGTGACGGTGATGGCTCTATTATCGGGTGAGCCTTCAATATCTCGTTTAATGTTTATTTAATCTGAATGTCGATAATGGTCGATGATGGTCGGGGAAGATCGATGCGTTCTTCAGCGAATTTTTAATTGCTGATGAGCTGTGGGGATGCAGGGGAAAGAGTCCATGGGGAATCGATGGAGATTTTTTGGGGATCGATGGATAACAGACTGATGTGAGGGACTCATGATTTATTACCTGAGAATGTGCGAGACTGAAGTGACAACGGCCAGACGATCATGATTACATTCCAGCTGGGTCGCTCCAACCTGAGGTGCGTCAGATATAGCAGACACCTGGATGATGCTCTTGCTCTTGTTGTTTTCTCCATGTGGATTGTTGGATCCTTCTGCGTCAAAGATAGTGAGTACTGCTCAAGTCTCTCTCTGATTAAAAATAATTAAACAACTGTCAATAATAATTAATGAATATTTTTTTGAATATGAAGATGACATGTCCCAAACTCTCAAGTCAAATCCAATTTTCCCATATTCTCTGGCCGAGATTAAAATGCATTTATGGGATTTATGGGGGGATTATCGGCGACCCGAATGGCAAACTATCGTAATTATCCTGTCAAATAAAGTAGGGTGAATGATAACTTATAATGGAAATATAATCTCCGAGAAATGTGTCGCCCAGATGCACGCAAATTGATAATCGTCTTGAGCACGGAAGGGTAAGTGCGAGGTTGACGAGAAAAAAGGTTGAATTGAGAGGGTGATAATCTATCGATTGAATTGATTGGATTCATCGATCTGGATGATTGAAACGTGAGGTGTATTAGTTGCATTGGTACTCGAGGTGATAATTTGTGTTGAGTATGGAGGGATGTAGACAGCGTGACCACATTTACTTGCGTGTACAATGTGCATAGATGAAGAAACCATCGATCGATAGCTCACAGCGCATGACCGCTCTGTTCATGTCTGTTCATCCATTATATACCTCCAGACTATGTGGGAATATACTTATATGACATTTACTTGTTGCCGCTTTCCTCTGATGAGTTGAAATCTTGGAAATATTGTTGATTAGTGTCAACGGGCCACATCATCCCCAGAGGGAACTAGGTTTCCTAGACATGAGTCATTTAAAATCATAAAGCCTTTTTGGATTATGGAGAGGATTTATTTGATTTATAGATTTTAATCCTGATTTTATTTGGATTTTATTCATTAATTTTTGGAGAATTTTTGGAAAAAAAAATTTTTTCTGGGGTTGGGGGTGGGGGTGGGTGGTGTTTGTGGAGAGATCGATGCTAGATTTGATTGAATTTTTCCCTCTTTTGGCCTTTCAGTACCGATATCTCAGGTTGTCGCTGTGGAGGGCGATGGCACATATTTACCCTGTGACATATCGACGAATGATGAAGGGGATTCAGTTCACCTTGTCCTCTGGTATCGGGAGGACCTCGATGCATCGGTATACAGTCTCGATGCCCGCGGGCGAGACTTTGGCATTGCTGAGAGATGGTCGGACAACGCCGTTTTCTCCAATAGAGCCTATTTTCTACCGGATGAGAAACCAGCGAGGCTTGCCGTTGATAGAATACGAGAGAACGATGCCGGTATCTATCGTTGCAGGGTCGATTTCAAAAAGGGACAGACCAGAAATTCTAAAGTCAATCTCACGGTTATAGGTAAGACATTCAACTTAGTCCTCATGAATTCACCCATCAATTTAATAGAGACATTTACTTTTTATGAGATCGCTATTTCAATTGCGATGTCTCGGGGAAAAACTTTGCGCTGCGAATGCGCGCCCGTGAATTGATGAAAAATTCTGAGAAATCGCTCAGAAAATTGTTCACTTGAGAAGAATAGGATGTAGCGATTTGAGAGTGATTTGAAAAGGATAACTAATTTTAATAACTGTTCAAAAATGCGAGATGGCAGACGGTGGCGCTCACGATCGCCATTCGTAATTATCTAAAATAATGAATCCGATAAGATTTTCATCCTGATAAATCCCGAAATAATTAAAATATGATAGCCTCCGGTGCAATATCATCTTTCATCGAGAATTCCAAACAAATTAGCGTCGAAAATAACATTTTCATCTGAGCCCGGGCAATAATACCCACCCCCGGACATAATGTATGATTTCCATGGCGGCTCGCTCATTTGCTTAATTATCACGGTCAAAAGCCTTCGGGCAATTGTCACTTGCAAATTCACTCCCACCCAATTACGCTCATCAAGTTAAGAGTTAAAAAATAGACACTGCTTATGCCACGAATAATACGAGTTGCGTCCTTCACATCAAAAGGCTACAGTTGCTTTCATAAGTGCAACACAAGAGGTCAATTTCAGCAACACAAGTAATACAGCCATTATATCCCTCATTAAAAGTGCCCGAGTAACCTTCAGCTAGTTGCAGAACTATACCCACAGTTTCACCAACTGTTTATACATTATATTGCACCCTGCGACGTATCATTAAGCTGTTGTCATGATTGCAGGTGTAATTTCACTCGCGACATGAAAAAATCTCGGTGAATAATTCTGAAAAAATGGATTTTCCACTCATTTAAACAGTCTCATGGATTTGCAGCATAAATTGGATAAAATGCCTTCATTGAAATGATTTTTTAGAGCTATTTTATACGGATTATAGATTGTGCGAAAACCGATGCAATTGGTGAAAGCTTATCGACCAAACAAGATACCCTTCGATATCTATTCTCTGTTCACCCTTTGAGGTCACATCGAAATCTGATACGACAATCGATAAATCGAGAAAATAAAATAGAGAATAATTACCAGAATGCAATTTTCATATTGGAAATTCTTTCGGTGGAACTAATTGAAACGAAATGGACGTTCATTTAATCAGGCTGATTGAAGTGGTATATTTGGAGCGGTGGAATAATCGATTTGTCCTGAATTTTGCAGTACCACCTCAGGAAATTGTGATAACAGATGAGAATGGAGTTACCAGAACATCTCAGGTTGGGCCTTACGTCGAGGGAAGTGATCTGGAGCTGCACTGCGATGTTTACGGTGGTAAACCGAGTCCAACAGTCGCTTGGTATCGAAATCAGCAGATATTCACGGATAAAGCCGATATTATCCAGCAGGGCATCATCAGGAGCACAATGATCATCAAGAATTTGGAGAGGAGAGATGTATACACGGAGCTGACGTGTGCTGCTACTAATTATAATAAGACAACTCTCTTATCGGCATCTGTGAGCATCGAGATGAATCGTAAGTCCTGGAAATTAAAGAGTCCCATCATTCAGTTTAATTCCCAGAATTTAGTTTATTTATGCGCATTTTTATTGATTAATTCACTCTTGAAAGAAGATAATTGGGTCGGTCGTAATCAAAACTAATCCTGGGATTGAATGGAGTCAGTGGAGAGGCAGTGGACACTGAATGGAATTGAAACGTTTTGACATTCATTCTATTTGTCGCGAGTGAATTTTCATCCCTCGGGGGATAAATACACCGGGAAACGTTTATAAATTCGGGGTTCACTGACTTGTCGCGCTGATTCTAGCCTTTTCAGTCGTAAATTGTATTATCCTTCTCCCAAACCAGTGGTTTAGCATTTATTACAGTTGTTGAATGGCGTGCTGCTTCGAGAAGCTGACATTTCTTTGATATTAAATGACTGAGGAATCTCTCAACACAGCAGTGAGAATTCCGCAGTTACATTCCTGAAATAATATTCTCTCTGATATTCAGATTCTACCTCTCAATCCTCGGACAAACGCAAGCGAATCCGTAGGAATGTCGCCGAGATAAACAACTCTTTTATGATTCAATCCTTCCAAAACTTTTGCTATCATTTAAACCTTGAGATACCTTTTGTCGAAATGTCATCCTGAATTTCCAGTTGATCCTCTGGGTGTCACTATTATCAACTCGAACAAGCCATTATCCGCGGGAAAGCACTACGAGTTGACCTGCGAGTCGTTCGGTTCGCGTCCACCTGCATCGGTGACCTGGTGGTGGGACGGTGAACACCTGAAGAGCCCGAGAGTCTCCACCTCCAACGACGGCAACATCACCAGGAGTTTTCTCTCATTCACACCGACGCAGAATGACGCAGGCAGACGCTTGTCCTGTCGTTCGGAGAACCGTGAATTGTCGATGGGTCCCATCGAGAGCTCGTGGATCCTGGAGATCAACTATAAACCTGTGACGCGAATTAAGCTGGGTACGTCTCTCAATAGAAATGCTATTCGGGAGGGAACGGACGTCTACTTCGACTGTCTGATCGACGCCAAGCCACCGGTCTACAAAGTCGAGTGGCGTCACGAGGGTAGAACACTGCATCACACTGTACCCCACGGAATCATCATCAGCAATCAGTCACTGGTGCTGCAGGGAGTGGAGAGAAGATCAGCGGGGAATTACACCTGTGTCGGATACAACAGCGAGGGCGACGGGGAGAGCGATCCTTACGACCTGAACATCATGTTTGCACCGACGTGCAAGCCGAATCAGACGAAGATTCATGGAGTGGCCAAACAGGAGAAGGCCAACATCTCCTGTCAGGTCGAGGCTAATCCACCGTTGGTGGAGTTCAGGTGGACCTTCAATAATTCAGCTGAGAGCATCGATGTCGCTGCCACTCACATCGCCAAGACAGGCATCTCCTCGATTGTGTCCTACACTCCCATGACGGAGCTGGATTATGGGACTCTGCTGTGCTGGGCCAGCAATGTCATCGGAAGCCAGCAGGTACCCTGTGTCTATCATATTATTCCTGCTGGTCATCCTGACATGGTGCACAACTGCTCGACCCACAATACATCTACTAGCTCCTTCTCGGTGAGGTGCAGCGAAGGCTTCAACGGGGGTCTTCAGCAGTCCTTCATGCTGGAGGTGAAGGAGAGCAATAGTCAGGAGCTCAGGGCGAATCTCACATCAGCTGTTCCATACTTCAGTGTCACCCATTTGAATCCGGGGATGCTGTATCAAGCCTGCATCTACGCATTCAATGAGAAAGGCAGGAGCGAGCCAATGGTGGTGCAGGCTGGAACCCTCAGGCTCCCTGAGAAACAACTCACCAGTGACACCGGAAAATCCAGGGACAGACCGAGGCATCACGTCAAACTGACGCCCATGTTGAGTGTTATGATTGGAGTTGTTGCTGCTCTGGTTATCGTCGCTGTTATTGTCATTGTCGTATTGAGAATTCAGAATGGTAATCCGGATGATCAGGGGAAGCCACATCTTGAAGAGCATCACAAGAGCTCGAAGAGCATTCCGATTCAGAGGGAGCTAAGGTTCAGAGAGGGCTGTAGTTTGATCACTGAAGAGAAACACGTCAGCACCGCTTTTGTCAAGTCTATGGAGGCTAGTGGAGAAATCAGTGAGGGGGATGATAAGAATCCTGATATCATCCCTCAGCAAGTTGCTGGTGGGGGTGAGGAGCAGATTGAATTTGTGCGGAAGCATCGGCTTCAAGCTGTCTCCACTATTGATACGTCACCGTCGAGAGCTAGGTGCAGTTTGATTGAACAGGGGAGTGGTACAACTAGTTCTATCTCTGGGCATGGGAGTTATGCTGGTTACTGCACTATCAGGAGTAGCATGCCTCTCAGGGAACTCACTGCCATGGCTTCCAGCAAACACAAAAGTGTGAGTAATATTTTATTTTAACCGATTATCGCTTGATGTTTATCTTCACTTTGACGTGTGCAAAATAAAATGACGAGTCATGATAATGCAATTTTTACATTAAAGGGAAGAAGATAATTGAAATTGGGAGAATTATTAGATGAATGCTGGGATTGGGTAATTAAATCAATGCGCATATAACCATTTTGTCAATTTGATGGAATTATTCGAGTGGCACTCGTGGCGATCGAATAAATGTCGAGTCTAATGAAATGGTATTTTTAAAGTAATGAATGCTACGTTTTGCATGAGCAGTGATTAAAATTCAATCGACTGTTGGAATTCGGTCGTTGAAAGTTCAGGAGAATTTAAATGGCCGGGGCATTACGATTACCTCTGGTAATTTAATATTTTAGGGGTGAGTAATTGAAATACGTTATAGGTCTTTTGTAACTTGATATGGTTGAACGTAAGTGAACGGCGTCTAAGGCGCTTACGAGAGTAAATCCATGCGCACGAGGGCTCACGGAGATAGCCGATCGGCGGCGAGAGTGAGTGCATGCGCGTCCCTCAATTTGTCGGGATGATTCGAATAAATTATTCGCGCACGGAGCAGAAAATATCGTGGGAAAATGTTTGAATGGGTTTTCTTTTTTCATCTTTCTTTTAGGAAATACCTCGTGCGAGTATTTTTTCTCCCGGAAAAAAACGGAGCAATCTTTCACGCCATCAATTACTCCGCGTGTCTTCTTGAGTCTTCCCAGTTTTCAAAATCCAATATTACAGTCTGGAATATTTTATCGATTATAAATTACACGGTTGAGCAATTACGAATGAGAACGAAAGTTTTCACGTTAAGTGGAATGAAAAATACAAATTGGGGCAACTGATGCCTGCACCAATCAGTCTTTAATTCTTCAACTCGCCATCGCAAATTCTATTTACGCAGTTGCAATATTTTTCATTTTGAGCTCTCGTGAAACCAGAGAAGATTAAAATTCATCCCTCCTTTTTAAATTCTGTAATTCATCGATTCAACAAATTATTCCATTCGTTCCCACCATTGGTCCCATATATTTCCCTGAATTTCGCATCGCGAAAAATAAAAAGCGAACAACCGGTGGAGTAACGAATTTTTTTTTCAATCAAGAGAGAATTTTCCTGTGAAAAATTCCTTGAAAATTGGCTCTCCTGTGGGATCATTAATAATTATCCACCAAGGGAGTACTCGACTCCATTTGCTTAATTTAATTCCATAAAAAATGATACTCAATGAATGAAAAGATTGTCTTTTTATTCTGTATAAAAATGGCAGTGGGTAATTTAAAGGAATTGGGTTATTGAACATCTTCTTGAAGAAGACATTGACGTATGGTAAAACGTCTGGATATTCCGGGAATTTATTCAGTGGTACTTGAGGCAATCGATGGAACCGTTTCACGTCGCATTCAGATTTGTCCATCATGATTAATTGAACGTAATGCCTTAATAAACCGTGTCAAACCGCCGGGTTTTTATAATGGATCGATCAAATACTTCCCTTCATGAAATATTTTGACATTGATTAATGGCGCAACTGACGTTCTCTGAGGGAAACTGTTAAATCCCGGGAATTACAACACTAATACCACAAAATTAATTAAGCAAGTCAGTGGAAATAGCGATTTCCGCGTGGAAATCAACCGTTTTTCATTATTTCATTGAATTTTCAACGATGGAATAACATTTAAATTACGCGTTCTTTGAAAATTATTGCAGTTGTAATTTTGGATTGAATTCGTTGATTTTTTGGTGCGACTGTTCGATGAAAGGCCAGTTTGTAATCCGCTTTCATGAAGTATTGTACTGAAAATTCAATACACGTATTGTAAGGTAAAACAAAAGCCAGCATTTGCGTTGCTTCAAAACCCATCGCATTTACAGAAAAAATGATATTATTACGTATCAATGTCATCTGTCAGTTCTTATCAGATGGAATGAATAGGATTTTTTAACAGAATCCGAATGAAATTCAAAAATTCCGGTTGCGGTTCCCGCGAATTCCCGGGGTAAACGCGGCAGTTCTTTTTTTTTCGGGTGTTCTCCATTTTTTTTTTGAAGATCAGTGTCGAGATATCGGATGCAGAATAAATTGAAAAATTCTCGTAACATTGTTCCCGGCTCAACGACCTCTTTAATCCTCTCGTGTACAAAATGTACCGAAGTGCACTAGACATTGCGCTAATCCGATAGAATGGGCCAATGAAATTCATGTGATAACTTTAAAGAGCCTCTCCTCCAAATATCCCGTTTTATTGGAATACACGTAATCCTTGGACGAAATTTCGTAGTGAAATTCAATAATTTTTTTCAAAATGGAGGGATGAAAGGAAATTGTTCGTCTGAAAGGAATTGAGACTTGAGAATTCAAGAGAATCGGTGAAATCAATTAAGAAATTAAGAAATTAATTAATGATCCGTACGGATTATAATCGATTATTTTTTCGGCGAATGGTTTGGATATTTTATCATTAGATTCTTTCGATTGTTATTGTTATTGGATTGATTTTTCGATAGATGTGGTAAAAACACGAATTCTTCGGTGCGATGTTTTGGGGCGCGTCGGAAGTGCTTTTAAAACGATAAGATAGAGTAAAAATAAAGCAAAAATTCAAGCGCGAGGATAAACTTCTCCCTGAAAAAGTTGACGGCATCCCAAAGTTAGTTTATGATGGATTGTCGATTGCTCAGTGCCATGAAATTTATCACAGCTTTCCCCCCCAGTTCTATAATTTCTCTGGAATTTATAATTTTTTTTTCTTCCCTCCCCCGACAACTTTGTCGGCGACATCTCCACTTATCCCGTTGATTTTTTTTATTCATTTTATTTATGGATTAATGAAGTTTTCGGTACCGGAATTCACTCGATTTTTTTTTCATAAAAATAACTTTGCTGACTTGACTTTTACGGAAGTTTGAAAATAAAATGAAGTGCGTCATGGGAGTTTAGGTTTACCAAGTGTCAAATGAATGGAGAAAAGTTTTCATGAATTTATGGGGAACGTAAATTAATGCTGACGGTGTCAGGAGTGATTAATGCTAAATTCAGTTCGTCGAAACAATTTAGGGGATTATAGTGATCATCGAATTAATTTTTTTTCATTAATTCTTTGATTTTTAAATTTTCCATCCAATCAATTACTCAATTTTTCGATTCCCTTTTGATAGGCTGAGCCAGTGGAAATGGTAATGCAACACTAATATCCCTTCGAAAGGATAATTCCACATAATCTCGCGTATTAAGTAGATGAGGGAATTTTCGATGAGTGGATTAGAGAGAAAGCGAGGATAAATTCTCGCCCAATTCAGTCCCACAAGACTAAATAAATAAAAAATCATTACTCCCTCTGAAAATACACCGAATCATCATTATTTCCTCTTAAATAAATAAGTAAACAATGACTATATCCCCAAGATTAATAATAATAATTAATCCATGACAATTGGTCTGAGAAATCGAGAACTTCAAACGATGGTTTATCTTCTGAATGCGATTAAAAAAATGATGACAATTATTTTAATGAAATAATTTTCAGTTCCAACCGATGATGACAGCAGATGCGGTTTATGGTACAGGTGTCTGTACTCTACCCCGTCAGCACTGGCCAAGTCATTCAACTCCTCAATCCATGACAATGAATCCACCAGCTGTTCTTTACACTGGCCTTGGTATAGTGGGTCGTACGTGTCCCAGTGCCACACTACTCACCAAAGACATGGAACCAACGAGAATCCAAGGACCAAGACTCGCTGCCATTCAGACATCCAAGGATTCCACCACGTCCATGAATATTCCACAAGTCACCAAGAGGGAAAGCTCTGTGTGACCTGATTACTTATCGCCTACTCTCATCATCGCTTTATCACAATTATCTCTGTCGGGATTCATCCCTCCGTTTTAAGGGATGGATTGGTATTTATTTTGGATTGCATCCGGGAAAAATCTATCGGAATTTTTGAGGGTGTCACAGATTTTTTTTATTGGATTCCTTTTTTTTTGTGGATTCAGTGGCTGGAGTTATTGATGGTTCTTGAGATTATCTGGTCATGATAATTTCCGAGGGTTGGAATCTTCAGAGAGGTATGAGGGCTGAGAGTTTTCGAATGATCGAGTATTTTTGGAGAAAACACACGTGCGCAATGATATTAATTATAACAAGTAAGTTGTAATCAGTATGATAATTACAGTCATAAGGTAATATTATGGATATGGTAATGGTAATCCAGTCATTGGGAACGAATAAATTACGTAATTTTTCGCCAATTGTAAATATATTTGTCATTGAAGTATTTTATACATAAATTTTCAGCTGCTCCACGTTTTATTTCGAAACTTTACGATTAAGGGTGCAAAATGGATTTGAGATCGCGTTTGAGTTTGGAAATATCTTCTGGTATTTTTATTCTGCCAATCTCGAGTTATTGACAGCTCAATTGACAGAATGTAGTCGAGTAGATCAATTTACTGAATTACGGATTTTTTCGACGATGAATATCTCGATAGCGACTGGTTTTAGGAGGAAATCTGATAAGAGTTTTTATGGAGAGAATTTTGGGAGCTACAAAAAAGTCAGATGGTATTTCTTGGTAAACTTAAACGTTTCTGATATATTCTCTTTGGTAGGAAGTGGCAGTTTTCGCGAAATTGACATTTTGTGGTTTTCCATTCTCGTGGTGGATTGAGTTGAATCCATTTTGCCCCAGCCGTTTTGAATATTCATTTCCGTTCTGTGGGAGGATTGGTGAATATAATATTAGGGAATATCACCGGATTAAAGCAGACTCTCTGTACATTAACAACAGCGAAATGTCATTGATTTATGGGCGGATCCGATGCAGACATCGTAATTTAATGAAACATATCGTTCTGTTTTCCGGTGATGAAAGCCGACATTTATATAGAGGATGATGAAGAAACAAGGTGTTGATGATCGTCAGTGAATACTACGGAACTGTGAACTGTGAAATGCAGGGAAATTGTCTGCTTTAATCTGGTTCTTTATTATTAGGTAAATAATTCGTTACAACGTGTGTATAATGTAAAAAGTCAACTGTCAGTTCATTCGTCGGTTCATTCCGGATTTTTCGAGAATTTTCTGACAATTTTTCAACGGGGAAATCATCCATTCACGTTTATTTCATTGATTTTTCAATTATAAATTCAGATGTGAAGGAATGACGGTGAAGTTTTGGAAATATCTCCGGATCGAAGGGAGATACGCCATTTTTTGTTAGGACTTTTTTTCTGGCTGTTGAGATTTCCTATAAAAAAGTTCACTACAAGATTTTCGTATGTCCGTTGCCTTCAGAGATATACCGTCTCAGAAAAAACGAATTTTTCTGGCTTCACCCGTTTGCTCTTGAATTTTAAACAAAATAAAGGGAATATTATCAATCTTATCAGAAAAATGTTATCGCCATCAATGGAATTGATGTGAGTGCACGAGTGATGATAAATTGTAAATCTTTTCATGAAAACTAGAGGCAGAATAAATTCCGTTATTTTATCGAATTTTCCAGATTGCAAAGTTAAAAAGAAAGAAAATCTTTTTTAAATTTTTACAGACGAATAAATGAGTGGAGGGAGTCTTGTGGGCTCTTGTGCAACTGGAAATACTTCACTATTGCATTAAATACTTATGGACATGATACGAATAATAAAACACTTTCGAATAAATTTCAGTGAGTTAAAATTCGTAATACGGAAATTGTTAAATTAATCATTGATAAACTAGGTTTGCTATTTTCATGAGTAAACTATAGTGTTAGTATCATAGTAAATGTAAGTGTTAACTGTATTTAAAAGGGGAAGGAGGTGGAGGAGGGAGTGGAGGGGAAGGAGGGGGAGGAAGAGGGGGAAAAATTTCGTAATTATTCGTCTTGAGGTTCGATTTTTGATATTGTCAGTGAGAAATCGTTAATGTCTCAGTTTTATTTGAGAGTCGTACGCATATTTTATCGAGGGGGACATTGAATATTCAGGAAATGTGAGTGAAGAGGAAAGAAATGAAAATTTTAAGGGAATACAGGAGCATGTGCTCAGTGAATATTCATGGGGTGTGATGCGACCCGGATGACGAATTTTATGATATTTGAAAAGTCGAGTCATCTATTATTTGAAAATTATTTCGTATCTCGTTCCTGCAGTTGACGGAGAACGACGCAAGGAAGAGAAAATGAGGATTTTATGAGGGATCGAAATTCATGACGCACTGTTTCGTGAATATCTCCAGAACCATTCGGTTTTGAAGAAAATGCAAGAATAACTTTTTATAGCTTACACCATTCCCGATAAAAAAAATTCAATAACATTTTTTCATAAAACCCCGGGTTTTCGAGGAATATCAGTGCGAAAAATATGCACGCAGTAAATTCATCTCTGCTTTTTTGACTGACGTCTTGCCGCTGTTTCGCGAATATCTACGAAACTGTTGGAGTTAGAGAAAAATGTCATACCAACTTTGTAAAGCTTCCAAAATTTTCAACAAAAAATAACTTTTGACTTTTTCACCTCAGACCCTCCATTGAGGGGTAAATATTGATCTGAGAAATGTACAAAATTGATTGATGAAAAATTCGGTCAGAAAATTGGAATAAATTCAATTTATTATTAATCGGAGAACGTCTGGAGATATTCTTGAGGCATAAGCGAGAATTAATTATCGCCCGGAATGGAGTACCGATATTTTTTCTTTAATTATGAAATATTTTGCAAAAGCCGTAGCTTTGTCCTCGCATTTTCCCTCGAAGTTGTTTTCATACACTATGAAACTCTCCTATTAACTTTTCCCTTGTGCGTACTTTGGTTGAAATCTCGAGCACGTATTTTAATCATAGAACAAGCTGGAGTTGCCAGATGGTAGAGAATTAATTAATTTCTCATTTTTTCCATTCTTGATGAGTGTTGCTTTAATTGATTTCCTTTTCACTCTGTTTTCTGTTCTCAATATTTTTCCATCAAGCTCCACGAGTTCTCCATCGAATTACAAATCATCGAGACTCTTTGCTACTTCCGTTATTTAATTATTGAAAGGTTTCGCTGAAATCTATCGATTATCGAGCACTCGAAGCCACTGGAAATTTCCAAACCCGAGCAAAACGTCAGGTTTTTTCAATCTTGTAAATAAAAAATTCACATACGCATAATTTATGACTGTTATATCTGTGCTTCGAGACATGTTCGCTATCTACTATCATTTCATCAGGAATTATTCGAGAACCGCTGTGAATTTCAAAATCTGCTCTCGAATCTATCATTTCAGTAGTAAATTGTTAAACTGAGATAAATCGAACTTGATATTTTTTTTAATTATCTATTTATCCCGAAAACTATTGATTGAGGGTGGAAACGCTAAAGACCTTTTTTGTAGTTCATTAAATTATCGATAAAAAAGGTCTTTTGATATTTCCCCGTAAAATCAACAGAACAGCGAAAAATAAAGGTAACAAGTCGATTTTTCTAATAGGCACGTTCACGTAAGCTAATACGTAGCTGAAAATCTCTGAATTAAAGTGAGATAGCGAAATTTTGATAAGGACCTTTTTTACAGCTTTCATTTCACTTCATAAAAGATCGCTTATGAAAAATTTCAGTATCTCTAGTAGATTCAGAGATATTCCGCGAAAACTCGACTGAATTTCACTCTGAATAGTTTTCTGGATGGATCGATATTAAAAAAATGAAATCAACTTATCTTACTTTAACATTTCGCTGCTGATTAAATTTCCTCAGCAAAAAAACTATTCACTTTTTCCAGTACCCCATAAACAAGGCAATACGATTTTATATAAACCGAGGGGAGTGAACAATTATGTAAGCCTTCACCTGTACTCATAGGTAGAACATTTTTATAAACGTTTTTCCCATGAAAAAAAAAAACGCATTAAAGTAGCAACCGATGAGAAATATCAACGGAAATTAGCGACGATTAACAATAAAAGAAGGAGAAATTCTCTGTAGAGAATATGTGAAAATAGTAAAAAAAAATTTCTTTTTCTATTCAAGAAACTAGAAAACCTCCAAAGGATGAAAGCACCCGGGAACTACGTAAATATGTAAATAATGAATGGATGCGAGAGTATAGAGAGGCAGAATTTCGAGGCGAATGTTGTCGTGAAATATGAAAGAAAAGTGGTGATGGTGTGGGATTAACGTCACCCTCGCTCTTTCGTGGATTAAACGTTAAGAAAATTTTCACCAACCTGTTGACTCACTGCCTGTACGTCTAATATGATTATTTAAATCGAGAATAATTGAAATGACGCCGATGTGTTGCGAATTTTGTGAGAGTGGATAATGGAAAATCTCATAAGCTTAGTACTATGCAAGGAAAATCGATGTACCCTCAAATTACAACGTAATATTGTTTTTTCTTTGATTTTTTTACATATTGTAAATATTCTAAAATAAATAATCGTTTTTATTCAATTAAATATCCTGAATTTTATTGTTCAGATAGTGAAAAAAATATAAATAATAGATGACTTACCAGATATTCGGGGATTTTTGGAATAATTCGGTGGAACTAATGAACTATAAATTATTTTAAAGTCCATTTTTCGTGGAATGGTGAAGATTTTACGAGTTATTAAGTTAGATAAAAGTTGATGAGTGCCAGGCTTTCACTTTTTGACACGTGAATATTCATGAATTGGGGGTGGTAATGTCATTTCACTGGGATTTCCCACCCAAGTTATTTTACTAAAACGACCCTTTATCACTGGCTGTTGAGACTTGCCAGTCGACAGAGCGCAAGTTCCTGGTGATTTTTCCACCGTCTCGTTCGCAACGATTGCTATTCTGCAGCTGAAATAATTACAACAGCGTCAATCGTTCTCATATTTAATCAGCTAAATCAAATGAAGAAGCAGAGAGAATTAATTCACTAGAGAATTCAAGTAAATTAAATAAATATCATCCACTTCTGAGTATCAAGTCAACTGAAATAAACAGAGACTTGATTTAATTGAAATTTTGCACAATTTTCTCTGTGTTTTGAATAAAATAAATAAACAAATGTGACAAAAAAATATTTATTGACTTGGGCTTCGATTACAAATACGAGGGGATCATTGGATATTTGTTGGCATGATTGAATACGAATGGATGCAGAAAAAAAAATAATCCAAAATTAACAGAAGAGTAACTGTTTTGAGGTGGAGGTGGCTAGTGCCAGGGGACTTGATTGGGATGGCTGATGGATCCCAATTTAATGTACCTGGTGGTTGACAGTGGCACTTGGGCAGTGCCATGTCCTGGTGGTGTGGCAATCTGGGGGATTTCAGCTGTTTGAGCTGACGTACCATCGCCTTTCAAAACTGCCACGCACTTCCACTCGTTTATGTAATTATCTTTCCAGAGGCGGACACAGCCATCATCACCTGATGATGCCAGAATTGTTCCCATTATGTTCCAGCAGACGCGCCACACTGTGCAGTAGTGATCGTCAAATTGTACAGTTTTTATTTCGAAACGAGAAAGACCTGTATGTGCATTATCCCTGGTAAAATAAATAAATACAATAATAAAGATCCTTTTACCCAATTGAAACGTGAACGTCTTGGAGAATAAAATAACTCACTGAATGGGTTTTAAGCTCACGATTCTCACGTCCTTCGTGGCAATAGCTAACGTGTGAAAACTTCTCCCTAAATTCGGTGAAAATGCGATATCATGGACTGGATCGACGACATTAGATAATGTTTCGGTTTTAGTCCATCGTCTACTGTTCTCTGAGTACTCGTAAATGAATACTTTTCCACCTGATGATGCATTCGAGTCGTCACTGCCCACTGCAATCATCGGTGGGTGTAATCTGCATTAAAAAAAAATAGAAATCAATCAATTAAAAATATTCTGGCAATTGCAGTAATTTGTCATTGAATTGATGAATACCTGGACAAGGAGGGATTCCACGTGATGCAGCTGCAAGATAATTTACAGCTGATATCGTGCTGGAGTGTCCACTGGCTCAGATTCATAACGTCAGGGGCCTCATATATTCTGATGACACCGTCGGCACTGCACGTTGCTAAAACAAGTCCCAATGTTTTTGGACCGAATTTGACATCCGTCACAGATGTACGAGAGTCCACCAGATTTGTTCGACGTACCCAGTGCCTCATCCCACGTTCTCCAGGTCCAGAGCCTTCACCAACTGCAATGGTCCAGGAAGATGTCGAAAGGGTTAAAGAAAAATTCAGGGATTTTGCGGGGAATTTCATTACCAATTTCTTCCCAGACAGCAGCAGTTCTGTCGAAAGAACAAGTGGCCAGGACTTGTCCGAATTCAGGATGTGCCCAGGTGACTTTCCATACAGATCCACTGTGTGCCTTCCAGGAAGCTGTCAAATGCCAGTTCTCGTGCTCATCCTCATCCCAGACCTGAAATAAACCGATGAAAATTATGATTTTACCGGAATAATTCCAATAATTCCAGGAGATGCCTCCAGAAAACACTGGACAAACCTTCACAAATTGATCACTGGAGCAAGTGGCCATTCTCTGGCCGTAAAAATCATAGGCGATGTCATGGATCAAGTCCTTGTGCTCAGCATTCAAGCTGTGAGCCTCAAACATTTTTTAATTCACCTGAAAAAGTCACTATTGCAGGTTTTGAAAATTTATTTATGTTCTTCGAGGTTATGTCAATGTCTTGGTTGATCTCAAGGTTATGTTTACTTGACTACGTTAGTAGAAATGAGTAGCTGAAATTTATGCACAAGTCATTCGGGATATTTGAACTGATTTGAACCTGAAGAATCCCTGGGAAGAACAATCAGTTGGTGATAATTAATACAAATAATGTCAGAGCTTTTTGCAGAAGTTGTTCACCCAAGCTCTCGTGCATTTTGGAATGAAGAAGATGAAAGTGAGATCGAGGACAATGTGTAAGTACAATCGCCGGTTTAACCTCACTCATTATTAATCATCTCCAGAGAAAATTTATTCTCTCTCAGATCCTTCACGGTCGATTGGACGGAATCTTCTCCAGAGAAAATAAAAACATTAATAATCGCGGAAACATCTTTTATAAAAGGTAATCCGTAGATTGTAATTATTGAAATTGTCAAAATAAATCTTTGAGGGATTGCGTGGATTTTTTTAGATTTCGTTGACAAATGCGTTCTCCAGGATCACAAGAGCATCTGCTCCATCAAGTATTCGGGTTCGAAGGAGTCCTCGAAAATTTATCAGCTCTCCAATGATTCATTTCTCTGTCTTGTGGATCCTCAAGTGAATCTCACAGCGGCTGGGGATTTTATCGAGTCTGTGAGTGCAAAAAATCCTTTCACAGTATCTCAATTTAATATTCACAATTAATCCTCCCAGATATCTCCAATCCTCTCGAAATCCGAGAATATAATTGCCATTACCTGCAATCACGTGTCTCAATTGAAATGCGGTGAGAACACCCCCGAGTTCTCGTTCATGAGATCTTTATCCACGAGAGCAGCTCCAGAGGGTCAGAAAAAATTATTTCCTTTATTGAGTCAACCGAATATCGTGGCTGGCGTCGCTGCTGGAGGTATTCTCCATATTTTAATTAATTTCCACTTGGTTCTCGATTCTTTAAATTTAAATCATTTCTGTTAATCCTCGCTGGCGCTAATTTATTGATTTCAGCTCTATCTTATGCAGAAACGACGAGCCTTCCAGGAACATTGGCGATCCTGTACCTAGAGGGTTTCGAGCTCGACTCAGAATCAGTAGAGCCCCTTCAAGCCCTCTTCACCCACCTCTCAGTGCCCTTAAAGCCTTTCCACGCAACGTCTCACCTCTTCCTGGACAAGGGGAACTTATACATGTGAATGAAATCCTTAATAAAATCTTTATTAAACCAATACAAAAAAAATCCCTCAGAATTTAAACCCCACGCCCTGTACCACAGCCTTTCTCCCAGCCTCACTGGCCTCTAAAACCGAGGCGAGACCAACAGCCGCCTCATCCTTGGAATTCATGTACCCCAGGATCATGGAATTCGTGGAATGCGTCCAGAAGAGATCCCCGAGGCCCTCGTCGACGTCATACCTGACAACAATACCCCCTCCCATCTTCTGATCAATTCCCTGGAGAAATTCAGAGCCAATGAACTCCCTGTCGACAGTCTCATGCAGAATTCTGATAAATTCCCCTCCATTTCCTTGAAATTTATTCCCTACAGCCTCAGCAATCGTCCTGGCAAGAGTCGTCCTGATGAGATGCTCACCACATCCAGACGTCGAAGCCCCAACGGATACCATTCCACTCTTTGCCCAAACCCCACAGCCCCACACTCCAGCCTGTCCAACTCTTCCAGGAGATTTGAGGATTATTCCACCACTGGAGCAGGCAGAGGCGACATTTCCCAGTCTGTCAACACAAACGGCCCCCACAGTGTCCAGTCTGGGTCTGGAGATCTTACCCTCGCCTCCCGGATCATCCAATTTTCTCTTGTAATGATTGTAAATTTTTTTCGCCTTCGACGAAACCAAGTCCTCCCCTGGAATCGTCTCAACCCCCATCTCTACTGCCCAGGCGTGTGCACCAGGCCCAACTAAAACACTTGGAGGCACTCTTCCATGGCTTATCTTCACAGTCTGGTGTTCGCACAGTCGTTTCGCCAGGAGAACTGGATTTTTCACGCCACTGACAGCTCCAACTGATGCAAAGAGCAGTCTTGAACCGTCCATTACACTTGCATCACACTCCACTTGACCGTTTAGAGTTAAATTCGAACCGAAACCTGCGTTCGTCAGGGGTGAATCCTCCAGAACCATCGTCGAAGCCACAACAGCATCCAGGGGGGATAGTCCTGAGCGCAGGGTTGATGCACCTGATTCGCAGGCCTGTCTGCACAGCTTCTGGTATTTTTTTTTCAGTGACTCCGAATGCTGACCCGCACCCACGTGCACTGCTATCATCCCCTCGTTCGGCTCCATCCTCTGGGGATGAGGTGTTCTCTTCCAGGACTGAAGGTTATGACGCCTGGTGATTGTTTGTCAGGTTTGTGTACATCGATCAGCTGATTCGGTGTGTATACAACCATCGAGGTTGAGAGTTCATATTTGAACCGTCTGATATATCCATGAATATCGATATTTTTGAACTCGTTATTTTTAACAGTCGATTTTATATTTTTCCGGAATTTTGAGGGAGAGAAATATATAAAATTAATATTTCTCAAGATGTTTTCATTTTGTCATTAAGATATTGTGTTTTATTTCAGTTTATCGAGTTTTATTCTTCAAATTGAGAATCGACGCAGTAGCACGCACCGTTGCCGGTGTACTACTGCGTGTGCGCGCGCCGTCGCGTTGAGTGGGACCGCCCGCGTCCCCCGCCAGTGTGCCACTGCGTTTGCGCGCGCACACCAACCCCCAGCCATCTTGTGTTCCGTTGTTTGGCGTCAGTTGTGACTCGGGAGGGGACGCGTGCGGTAGAATTATGGCGGTTCCTCGCCGGGAGGAACGTTGTGTAGTAAAAACCCGGGATAAACGTGCCGTGGACACACCGACATTTAAATTTACATATAATTGATACATGAAAGTCGTTTTAAGCGACGAGTAATGACTTCGGAGGGTGACATTGTGTTTTTTCGTGGTTTTCAGTGTCAAGTGTTGTTTGTGATGTGTTGTGACAATTTCGACTTTGTTTGTTGACCATTTGTCAATTCTTTTTTGGTGTTCGAAGTGTTTGTGCGGTTGTGAAAGTAATTGTTATCGGAAAAAGATAAAAATCGGGGTAATTAGTTTTTTTTTTTTTTTTTTTTTTGACGATTCTGGTGCCGACCAGTCGCGACAATAGTTCGGAATTCGGAATTTTTTTTTTTCTGTGATCTCGTTTTTGGAATATTTTTATTAGTGCAGTGAAGTGAATTAAACTTTTGTGGAAGAGAAATTGTGGAATTTGCAGAACATTTCGACGATTGGTGTGAATGGATTGATTCATCGAACACCGGCGTCATTGTTTTCATTTTGACTTCGAGTTGCTGGCGGTCTTGGAGCCTTTGTTGACATCAACCACGATTCCTGGAATTCCGGGAGAGGTCGGCGGATATATCAGACACAGCTGAATGTAAGTTCAAAGATTTAATTTTTATACAATTCCACTTATACAATTTTGTATACATCTTGATAAATTCAGTGAGCCAAAGGTCTCTTGAAACAATTCCTCTCATTCTGACACTCGTGAAAAATAAGATCAGCTATTTACATTTCATTTGCAACTCCCCCCATCCAATGATCATTAATTAAAATTAACCCACGCAATCCCCGAGGATAAATTCCCCATACAATCGAATTCTTAAATTATGCCAATCGCGAAGGACGTTCTTTGTTAGGAGAAATATCGATTCTAGGAAAAAATATCAGAAGTTCTTTTTCTCAAAAATTTAATAACCAACGAATAAGTCTCTCACCATTGCCCCCTCAAACCCCCAGTTCTCCAGATAAATCGATGATTACGGAATATCAAACAATCAATTGATTAATTTTCTGTCGAATTCGACTTAACAATTTCGGTACTGAATTGAAAAATTCGTTATGACTCCCATTAAGTCACCCATAGCAATGGCAACAAAAATGAAAATTCTCAGAATTTCGCGACAATCACGTAATAAACAAGAGATCAGGTATCAAGGCTGGGGGGGATAGTAATTACGGGGTGGATTACTGGGCAGTGGAGGTGGTGGAGGTGCCCCTGTGGGGGGTGGATTTCCTGGTGTGAAGTGAACCATGGGGGGATAGGTGTATGGCGGAAAAGGGGCGGGGGGTGGCGCACTGGGGGTTGGGGGATTTGCGCGAATTTGAGGTGCAGGACCTAGACGAATTGGTGGAACAATGTGATTCATTGGATTCACTGGGGGTGGAGGGGGCACTGAGATATTTGCGGGGGGGAAAACAGCCTGATAAGCACCAGCTGGGGGAAAACTCGCGGGATATGGGGGAAAGTGTCCCGGCAAATCCATAGGTTTTGACGTGTCCATTGGCTCCGATGGGAGACAACCGTTTGATGATGCTGCGACGATGGGAATTGTTGACTCGATTTTCGGAATTTTGCAGGGGGTGACAACTGGAATAATTGAATAATTAATCATAATTAATGAATAACGAGAAGGTGTGAAAAATAAAAATTACCGTTTGGAGTACTCGACGCGGATTCAATATTAGGGACGATCACGGGATTTTCTGGTCCTCGATTGTTCGATGGGATGAGAGGGGGTGAGTCGGGAATTTTAGCGTTGTTGGTTTGAGAGTAGAGATCTAGCACTTGGTGACAGATATCTTCGAGTAAGTCCATTGTAACGTCTTCCACGAACATGTCCCACCACCTCAGGTGTTTCGGTTGACGTCCGTTCCAATCGACAACTTCGAATTTACTCAATTTTCCAGCCAAGTACATTAGGGCTACTGCTATTATCTCAGGCTCCCATTGGAGTGAAAGAGTCGTGCATAAACTGTCGTTTACGAATGTCCAGGCCATCTGGACCATTTTCTGGAGTTTAGCCTTGTCCCCTGAATTAAAACACTCGTAATCATAAATCTCTGTTTAAATTCCGATAGATTTTTATCATTCTTTATATTATCGTACCTTTCAAACACTTTGCGTATTTCAATAGATAACTGTAAGGATGCTCCACCTGAAGATCGAATTTGATAGTCTGTAGTAGAATTCTCTCGAGAGTCATGACTTCTTCCTGTAATAATGGAAAATTAAATCCTCAGAATATATCTGGTGCCTAGAACCTTTACCTTCGGATCTTCTCCAAAAGTGAGAAATTTTTGTTCAGTCAGTAGTGTTTTTGCAGTCTTGATTATGTCCTTGCACTTCTTGGGTGTCTCCTCGACTTTTCCAGCGAGGAATAGACAGCAGCAGGCAGTGACATAACGTGGAAATTGTTTGAATGAATGAAACATGTAGAATCTGTGAAAATACACGACTCCAGTTGCCATCGTGTTGTATCCAAGCTCGAGTTTGGTACCCGTGTCGATGATAAATCTAGCACCTTCCTTTCTGTATCGACATTCAGTCTCGTAATCAATTCCATCCTGTATCGAGGGTGTGTGTCGTAACTCTTTTTTATCATAGTACCAACACGGCATTTTCCACTGATTAGTCTTTTTCACTTTATTTATTTATTTATTGAATTTTTTTATGAACACCGATAGCTCTAGAGTGAGGGATGTCCTGGGGATCCTGTTGAGATGACTGGATTTATTGATCAAATCAAATAGTATCTTGAACTTTTTATTATTTATTATTAATTATTCGGGATTTACTCACGGCTAATTGCACGGGTCTTTCTGCACGTGAATAATTACCACACGTTTGTTATCATGTTTAAAATCTTAGAGGGCTGTTTTGCTCATACAAAACAGAGAGAGAGGTTAGGAACACGACGTGTGTTTGAAGTTGGAGGCTAGGGTAGATAGTGACCAGTGGAAATGCGCCCTGAAGTCCACGAAAGGCGCGATTATTTGATTTTTTCTCAGGTCGAAAATTTTATAAACACCTTTTTTTCTTTCGTAAAATTAACAAATGCGGAATTATAAATGCTTTTCTTTATTAATCTCGTAATATTTCTTAATAATATTGTTATTACAATCATGATTTTTTGGTGTCAGAGTCTTGGAGGATTTTTTGGGGTGTCATTGACTCCTGGTGGATGTCCTGTGGTCGTTGTGCTCCAGTAGATCGGGTTCAGTCCTCTTGGGGGTAATAGATAGGGTTTGAAAGGAGTGACTTGACGACGGTTTGAGCTTGGAATTTTGTTGTGTGTTGCTTTGAGAATTTTATCGGGCAGGGGTGGAGGTGGTGTTGAAAAATCCACTGGTGGAAATATTCCTGAAGGCTGGAGGTATTCTTTTGACTGCTCCAAGGGCTCCACTGGCGGCATTTCTGATTCAAATCAATTTTATTTAACTTTCTATTTCTTCTTTCATTGATTATAATTTAAATACCTTTTGGAGTGTCTGGCGGATTCTCAATCTTGGAGATAATTTTTTCATTCTCTGCTGGAGTTTCTTTCGGGGATGACGCGTTGTTTGTGCGATCGTAGAAATCTAGTAGCTGGTGACAGATATCTGTGCCAAAAAATTATTAGAAGTCAATGGAATTCGATAGATTTTTTTTATTGAGTACCTTCTAATAGATCTACGGTCACTCCCTCGGCGTAGGTGTCCCACCACTGGCGTCGACCTTTTCCATCGACTAGGGTGATATTTCCCAGTTTTCCAGCGAGATACATAAATGCTATTGCCATGATCTCAGGCTCCCATTGAAGGGCCAGTGTCGTGTACAGGCTGTCACGAGCAAAATTCCAGGCTGACTGAACGACTCTTTCAATTCTCTTTTTGCTGGCGGGATATTTTGGATCCCGGAGGCCCTTTGCGTATTTAGGGACGTAGATATTTGGGTGGTCTACTAGCAGATCGAATTTTATTGTCTGGAGTAGAATTCTTTCGACTGTCATTATTTCTTTCCTGGGATTTTTACCGAATAATGTCCAGTCCTTTTGGTCCAGCAGAGTTTTAGCTGTTTTGATTATGTCGTCGAACATTTTTGGTGTCTCCTCGACTTTACCAGCGAGAAAAATACAGGCTGAGGCTGTTACGTACCGGGGAAACTCCTTGAAGGAGTGTAACATGTAAAATCTGTGGAAATAGATTACACCAGTTGCCATTGTGTTGTATCCAAGCTTCAGCGCGATGCCAATGTCGAAGATAAATTTGGCACCTTCTTTTCTGTGTTGACACTCGGTTTTGTAATTCATTCCATCTTGTATTGAGGGTGTTTGTTGTAATTCATTTTTATCGTAGTACCAACACGGCATGATGAATCTTTAATTGAAGACTTGTCCACTCTGTACTCTGTATTTTAATGGCTATTTTATGGGATGTTTGGTATCGAGTTTAAAATCTCTTTTGCTGGTACAAAACTTGGAGAGGTTAGGAACACGATGGGTGTTTGGAGTTCGAGTCGCGGGAATCCCGTCGGTGTATGAATCTTTACACTCTAGACTTTATGAATTTTATGGTGTTTCAAGAAAAATTTTAGCAATTTTTAAGGCTGAATATCTCTTGGTAGGAAAATTATATCGGAAAAGGGAGAGAAATGGCATCTGGGGAATTAGAAGGGCTTTCTTCCCCGGTTTACCGCATATTTTTATTACTTCTTGTTCGAGAAATTTTCAGGGCTGAATATTGCAAAAAAATATCTCATCATATGAGAAAACGAATTCTTCATTCTCGTGTATCGAACAATATTTTTTGCTGCAATAAAGTTGTAAAGTTGCTTTACGATATTGTGAATTCCTGCTGAGGATAAATATTTACAAGTCTATATATCACGCTAGTACATGATGTGGGGTGCAATATGCAAGACTCTATCCCTATTTTTTCGCGTTTGAAGATAAAAGAAATGATGGAGACGTGTGTGATGAGAATAATCTTGAAAATTTGGGTATAAATTCTTCATATTTTCCCGGATATCTGAAATTTCATTTTTCAACGATGAAAGGGTTAACTCTAATGCATATTTTCATTCTGTATATTTATACAGTAAGATATCTGAATTTCTGATCACTAAATATCGAGGATATCATCCCTTTTTGCTATCGCGGCACCAATTTAAAAAATTGAGAATTCTTTGCTGGTATGGAGAAAAATTTCCATAGCTCTTGAATGAAATAAAGTAGTGACTCCCTCAATTTTTATTGAATTTTCGTTTTGATAACATGAAATTCGAGATACGAAGGCTTCTATATCGTTAAGGAAATGGTTAGCTTACACATGAGTAGATACATAAGCCCATGTACTACTAATCCCACTAGAAATGTATATGTAAATTTGATCATACCGAAGATTACATCTCCTCCATTGAATGCAAAAGCTAATATTCTGAGTGAAAGGTCAACTGAGTCACATTACCGAATTATACGTCAAATCTGGCTATTAGTTAAAATCGATGAATATTATTAATTTAAAAATCGAATCCAGGGACAATTGACTCTCTGTTTTATCGGGACTCAGAGAATTTTGAAAAAAAAATTTGTATAAAATACATCCAATGAAATTGGAAAATGTTTATTAGAAAAAAATATTGACGCAATTTTTTTCAAGATCAGTGAAAAATACGGGAAAATTTTCCGACAATTGCCGATTAGTTCCTCAATTTTTTTCTCGAATGGCATCTCGTAATTCCGGGAATCACGGAAATGTTGGGTAATTTTTATCCCGCGTTTTGTTCATGTGGTAATTTATCTTGAAAGCAGATGCGCTATCAGATTTCGGTGTTAAAAAAAAAAATGGAATAAGAAGCAATAAAATGTTTAGTGAGTCGGATCGAAGTATCATTCTTCATGTACCTAGGGCACATATACCCAAAATATATATATATATTAGTTTTCCCTTCTTGAATCGGATGCGCAGATGCAGACGTGACGTCACGCACTGCCAGGTTTTAAACTCCATCGGTTCGACTAGTCGCACGCCAACCATTGGATGGCCAACACGTACCCCACGTGTCCATTTTTTTCCAGTACCGAAATTCGAGTGTCAAGTCAATGTTTTCGTGTTGATTTAAAAAAAAAAACAAATCGGTCGTTAAAAATTGAAAAAAAAAAAAAAACTAGAAATATTCATCGATTTTTTTTGCCAGTGATCAGTGAATTTATTATAAAAAAATTAAAATTCAATGTGCGGTGGTATAAATATATATGATTGCGTAAATGAATTATGATGAATATTAGTTAATTAATTAATTAACTGAATCACATCGGGGACAAGCGAATATTATTATGCAGAAAAGGGGTTGAGATTAAAATTCATCTAGATTTATTCAGCGCTGACTCCAATTGCCGGTGTGCGGTTTTACCGGTGAACAATAGAGATATATTTTTTTTTTTTTATAAATAAATATTGTGAGAGAATTAACGATTCATGACGAATTCCTCAGAGTTTTTCCCCTGAGTTTTTGGTTTGATGAGTTTTGGGTGGATAAAGTGATTTAAGTTAATTAAATAATTATTAAATAATCGTTTGTTGATTGGAACAGTTAATTATTTATTTACGGATATTTATCGAAAGGATTGGGGGTGAGGATTTTTTGTTGTGCTGGTGGTTAATTAATTCTGATATTTATCGTATTTAAGGGGATAGGGTTAATTAACTAATGAGTAAAGATTAAAAGTGAATAGTGGGGTTGAGATATCGGTGGTTGTGGTAACTTTTGGGGGTTTAAAACTGAAAACTTAGGATGAATGAGACCCGTGGGTCCAAGTGATAATTTCGTTATGTTATCCCAGCCTGAACAGGCGTTTGTGATCAACATGTCAAACGTTATATTTTCCCTAGTGTTTCTTGGATCGTTACCCGTTATATACGCCGATAATTTGGGTAATGTAAATTTATAATTAAACAATATGAATTCTGTTAAAAATTAACACGATAAATCGTTAAAATCCGACAAAACCTTTCTCATTCTGAATTTATCGTGGCTTTTTGCTATATAATTTTTTGAATAATTAACGAATTTCAATGTTTATTTAACATTGACTAGCGATTATTTTCTTTTACAATGCAGTGATATTTTTTGTGAATGCACAAACCGTTGTTTGAATGTAATACCACGGGCTAGTGGTTGGTTTGACAAACTGTCATTGACTGAAATATATATGAAAATAGAAGGGACATGTCAAAGCATTCGGTATAGCGTCACAGATCGATAATAAAAACTGCAGCAGTGAAAAGTTTTTCATTTTTCTAGTGATAGCCTGTAAACACGACAAAACTCACTTGTACCGGTGAAAAAGTTTATACGAATGTTTTCATTGTTGAATCACTTATACTTTCATATTTTCATATTTCACTCGGTATTCGAGTAGTTCTGATACGGGGGCCTTACCTCAAGTTTATCCCACCCTTTTCCCAAAACTTTACACAAGTTTCACAATTTATGACTGAGATACATTAAATGTATCAAGTTTTTGATTGATGTTATTTCGATTTTACGTGAGCGGTGATTTATCGCGGGTGAATAAACAAATAGTCAATAATTATTAGGGTAGTTGTCAATAGTTGGTAATAGTTGTCAATGGAGGCAGTCTCATTAGGATAATTAGGATCGAGGGTAATTATTGTGGGTGTAGTCTGTGAATTTGGGATGATCTGTTTGTTATTTTAGGGATATGTGCTCGGTTGATTATTGTGGAGATCTATTTTTGGTTTTAGGATGAGTAATTGGTATTCTTCTGATGATTCTCCACAAATTAAAGTTGGTCGTGGCGTGGAGTTGTCCCTGAGCGGCGGTTTTAGTATTTCGATGCTTTCCGTACATATTTATTAGGATAGATAGAATACCGCGGGTGTCGTGATCGAAATTCACAAATAAGTTGAGCCCCGGGTTTTATTGAAAAATACCGTACAAGCCCCAGTTGAATTGTGTATCGTGACTTTGCCGTGAAAATTGATGTTCACTCGGGAAAAAATATCCATCTCTGACATCCGACTATTTTTCCCACTGGTATTTTGTTATTCTTAACACTCCAAGCCTTTTTTTTTTTTTTATTTTAAATAATGGCATTTTTTTTCGCGCGATTTTATTGACGGAACGATTGTCTCAGTCTATCGCCTTTATTGTTCCAATAAAAATTTATTTAGATGGGGAACATTGAATTTATTGCTGTGGAATAATTAAATCCGTGTTCATAACTCATTACACCTTCGATTACGTGAATGATTTCGTTTGAATGGATGAATGCATCGAAAAACAGATGATTAATGGCGGCCATTTGTCAGAAGTTGTGCTCGCACCATTTTTTTTATTTTTTTATTTCCGAGTAAACAAAACTTTTATCCTCCCACCACTTTTCATGGACGTGAATGGAATTTTTAATTTATTACGTGGCGATATTGACCGGAAACAGTATTTACATCCGTTGTCTCGACGTCTATTTAGGGGTTTAAAACTCGGGGAAATTTTTCGGGTCAGTTACCGAACTGTAAGATATTTTTCTTAACGTCATGAAAATGGAAAGTTACACCAGTCGAGAAAAATAATAAATTATTGACATTTTCTGTTTATGATATAATAATTAATCTTCGCTGTACGACTGGAATAATTTTTTTATTGATTTTGAGAGGGGGAATAATTTCAGTTTCTCATTGAAAAAATAAATCCTACATAATAAACTAATTTCAAGAGAGATAATTTATATCCGCGGAAAAGAACTTTTCAATGCCCTGCGCCATGATAAATTACTGTTCTTTACAAGTATCCCATCGACGAAGATTATCCTACCTCCAACGCCTGATATTTTTATCCCTCTATATCTGGTGACTCTTTTTTCCTCCGATCCGGAATATAAGGCTAGTGAAAGAGCTATCGCGTATCTGGGACAATCATGGGTTGCATCCAACAGTATTAGCAGGGGTCGAATGCGCTTGAACATGGATTCCGTGCTTACTCAACTGAATAAAGCTGCTTCGATTTTTTTCATTCCCTCCTTTTTTTTCAACAACTATCAGAGTCCTAGTATTGACAGGCTCATCGGTGCTGTTTCTTTACACCGTTGTCCTCTTGCAATCATCAATTGGGAATCCATCGGTGACAATGGATGTAATTATCGGCAAGGAATCGGTGATTTTTTATTTATTTTTTTTTTTTGGGAGAAAAAGGGAACGATCTGTGGGGACTTGGGGTGAACAGCTTTCGAAGATTTAATCAGGACTGAAACAATTGGATGAAGGCACAGATTGCCAAGTTTTAGTTTTACCTCTGATTTATTTATTCGAGTGTATAACGGATACAACAGGAAGTGCTGTTGAAATTCATAGGACAGCGGACAACTTTGAGATGAAAACAGAGTTTAATACCTCTTTGTTGGAATTATGCTGCTGTTACTGATGTTGCTTCATCTTGTTCTGTCTTTTATGGTGTGACCTTACGAAATTTTTACTCCTGCT